CATAAGCGAAAAATACGATTGATATCATTGTCTCCGATGTTTCCATGACCAACTGTGGGAGAATACCAGGTAAGAAAAGTGCAACGTGAATTTCTTCCGCTTGGTTCTCGCGGATAGACTTTCCGTATACCCATACAAATGTCCAATCCTCTCGTATATTAGCTCCGAGTCCATTTCAACTTTGCCCAATCTCATTCGGCCAACCATGATTGCGTCTTCGATGTTCATGATGAAATGGTGGCTTCATTTTGTGATGTGGATGATTAGGATCAACAGCAAGAAGCGCGTTATTATGTAGGAGCCTGAAACATATGATGGATCAATCGTTAATTGGTCACATTTGCTGTACACGTATCTTAATAGTCTTTCTCACGAGCAAAATAAGTTCATGGGTAGACACTTGCAATTCCTTGCAATTCCATGCAATTCGAATTTTTTTGATACGTTCCGTTGAAATCAAAATGGCTTCGCGTTTTGGAATCACGTGCATGTGACAATTATCACCTGTCAAAAAAATTTTTTGCCTCTGGTATGAGCGCTATTACAAATCATTCATTTCCCCAATACAGATATGCACGCACACTGCACACTGGTTACCTGAGACATGTGTAAAATAATGCAAACAGTATTAAGTGTATTGTCTACTCAAGTAGTAAATATATACAAGGGATACCAACTCCTGAGAATATTCGACTTTGACAAATTAAACAGATCGGATCTGGTGGTTATGGAACAGTCTATGTAACATGGAGAATATGCGGAATGCATTGTACTCAAACGATTTAAGAACACCAGAATTATTTATTTCTGATATTTACAGTGGGTAGACAAAAGTCTTCGGACAGTTTTGTACTCGAAAACTTATATAATAATTGGGCATAAATATAAAATTCTAGTTTAAGTTTGATGTACCAATATCACATTTATTAATATTTCTCCTTCAAATCCGCAATTTGTTTTTGGCAATGCCTTCCGTTTGCGAATACGCCTGTCTAATTCACTCCATAAATGTTCAATGGAATTAAAACCAGGCGATTGGGATGGCCAATTGCTAAGCATTTTAATATTGTTTTGATTTATCCAAGCAGTAACATCTTTGGCTCTATGAATGGGCGCGTTGTCTTGTTGAAAAGCATACCCTTACCCTTAAAGTTTTGCTGAATATATGGTAACAGGTGTTTTTCTAATATATCAACAGATCCAATTTACCTTCCACTATTACCAACGAACCTAAACCTTTTCCTGAAAAACAACTCCACACCACTATTCCTCCGCCTCCATGTTTAATCGTGGGAACAAAATTCTCGATATTATTGCGTGTACCAGGCATTCTCCAAACTCTTTGAGGACCATCACTTTAAAAATAGTGAATTTAGATTTGATTCATCACGGTTTTCCATTGCCTCGCGCTGTTTATCAGTCAAAAACGGTTTGAGTGCAACGAATCGTTCTAACAGATACATTTACACCAGTAGCATTTGCAACCCTTTTTTGAATTTGAGTAGCTGTATTACGCGGGGTTTTTCGTGTGTTATCGTTAAATTGGAATGGTTGACCAGTCCTTGGAAGATTGGTAACCTTTTGATGTTGTTCATATCGCTGGATTGCATCGCTTATCGTGGATTTCGGAATCTGAAGAACTTCACTAATTTTTCGAATGCTAAGGCTACTTTTCCGTAACCCAATAATTTCAGCTCGCTTAAATTCTGAGAGTTTCATTGTAACTTTATTTTATGTCAGTTGATATTAAAGCAGGTTTAGAAATAATATTGGGAGAAACGAAGTAACAAAGCATACACCTTTACTGTGTATATGATACATGTACAGTCGACTGCCGATAATTCGACTCCCCATAATTCGACTTTCCCAGTCATTCAATCGCCTTGAGCAAGACCCGATTTTTTAATATTATTGTTCTTCTTTAAGTACGTTTGTCGTTAATTCGACCTGTACGTTAATTTGACCGATGACGCCGGATCGAATTAAAGGCAGTTGACTGAAATACATTTTACTCTGAGCATTGCAATTTGAGACAGAACATTAATATTGAAACTTCTTGTTAATTCTATACTTGCATAATGTAACAGTAGACATGAGGCAAGACGACGGCTCGCAGTGACTTTTAATACGGGCGTGTTTAGTTATCGTGAATTACTTTTTAATGCATTCTAGTCTCGATTTATCTTAAAGAAAGCTTACTTGGTTAAGGCGATGGCATATATAAATATGGTGTAAACAGTTTAATCGCATCAACTGGTTAAGCCACTGCTGAAATTCGTGTACAGGTCGTTGGGATGCCTGCACTTTAGTTGCATTTAGGGAGAACCAGTAATATTGAATTCACGTGGATATATTATTTGCTTAATATCGTTTTTAATAATAAATCAACAAACGACAGACCTGAAAAGAAAGTAATGCAGATGTTGCAAAAAGCGGTAAATACTCAAAAAACCGTTTACTGGAATTCTTTATCAAGAGCATTAGAGTTGAAAAACAATTCGAGATTAGTCTGCCGAAACGATGTATCGTGCAGATTTAGATTTCTCACTATTTTGGTGATTTTTGAAATTGCGCCAATATATTATGACATATATCGACTCTGTATGACCCATTCGTGCATTGCGTTTTCAAGATCAGGATATTGGACAGCTCTTGATCTTTTGGTATTAGAGACATTTTCACATTCCTTAATGTCATTTTGCTTCAGTAAACGTCCAACAGTCGTTGGGTTAAGTCTAAGTTAAATGTTGTCTTAACCCATTGAGCAACATTTACATGGGTAGCATTGGGGTTCCTGTCTTTGTAGTAATTTTTGCTTGTTCGTTAATGTAGTTCTTTTAATTTTTTGTGATTGATCAACAGTACTTAAATGGAAATGATCTATAAATTTGATTGAATCGTGCATGCACTTGTGGATAATTTTTTACATATAAGGGCCAACAAATATCATGCACTTATAGAATAGGTACTTATCCCATAGGTCCCAACGTGGTCCCAGATTATTTCCTGCACTTAAGGATCATGCACTTAGGGAGAGTCCACTGTATTGATTATTGCCATATAGATTGTAATTTATTGGTCAAATTTATAACACATGATCATGATAAAACTATGGAATTATGACACTGAAACTAAATAAAGCACCAGACAGTCCAGGAATGCCATCAAAAAAAAACAGTGGAAAAATTTAACTAATACTAAATAAATACGTGTTTCTTATTGATGTGGTACCATATTAAGGTCTATCCATATTAGTATTAAGTTAATGTAGATCTCTGCTATATTTCCGTAACACAACTTTTAAACAACATTGTTCATTCCGGTCAATGGGAAACAAATGACTGATGCTTCCAAAAGCGATTATTAGAAACCGTGTTGAAAGAAATCGCACGGTGGGGAAGACAAACGCCTAACCAACACTTTCTGACGTTGATGAAAACAGAACAGTACAATAATTCAAATTTTCGAACTTTATTCGGCTCCATAGCATCAACATCAAAGCCATACATTCTCTCGAAAGGCACAAGCCACCGATACTCAGTCAATGGATACGACTTTCACAGACCATGCAATAACTAGTCTAGCACCGACCGTTGTCTCTGGCGAATTAAGTAATCCTGCTACTGCATCTTCATCAAATCCTTCCGCCAATCCAACTCTCCTTCCATCGCCTCCTACGCCGTTTTCTTTACCTCATGATGTCGACGACTCTTTCCTTCTAGTGTCTCTACGGCAAGCACGCCCTCCCCGACGTCCAAAATATCTTCCCGTCCTTTTTATTCTCGCCTTTATGGACTTTGCTTTTATATTAGCGAGTGCGATATTGCTGTTAAGTAAACAAAAAAATGATGGTCCGAACAAGACGTGGCGAGTAGGCGTGTGGGATTTGGTCGCGCTTGGAATGGTGAGAGTAATTGCCCTTGTCACTGTGGCATCGTCGGTATGGGTGAGAGACTATGGATGGATTGTTGGAGGCACTTGTGGGGTAAGTATGGGTAAATGCACGCAAAATAGAAAGAAAGAGGGGGAATGGGCTGATAAGGATAATAGTATATGCAAATGTATTGATATTAAACCTATCATTGAAATTATTTAATAGATATCCACAATGTATGTAATATTCAAATCCAACCTCGTATTACAATTAAAAATACCAACTAACAAACACCACATCATGCTCTTCGTCACAACGTCCATATTCTCTCTACTAAATTGGATTGCCTATGCCATTGTCACAGCAGACAAAAAACGCCGTGCACGATTGCTCAAGGGTAAAACTATATTCTTTGAAGAAGAAGGAGGCGCAAATGAGATTATCCATGATGCGACAGACGGCAATAATGAACAGAGTGGATTGCTTACAGATGACATTTATAATGACGGTACTAATGACGAATTAACTCGCGGATATGGAACAATAAATACAACAGGGACAGAAGGCGATGTGTTTAACGATAATGGCGGTGGAGTGGCAACTGCATCTAAAACAGAGTACATTAATGTCGGGCGTACTCGCCCTACAACCTCGTTTTCTACAGCATCTGTGCCGATCCCCATTGCCAGCTCGGTGAGCTCAGACGGAAGTGCGCGGTCTTTTCGAAAGTATAAGAAGAAGGGACGATTAAATATGACGGACGACGTCCCATTGCATAGACGTAAAAGTCATGATATTACCGAGGAGCGCGAGGATGGGAATGATAACACACATGATGACGAAGATAACCTTCTTCAATGTTTTGACGACACTGATGCCGGTTTAATATTCACTTCTGCTGGACGTGGTGGAAGTGTCAAGGATCGTGACGCGGTTTACTTTCAACCTCCACGTGAGGATGTCCTATCGCTTGCAGCCGAAGAAGCAGAATATATTTCGTCTGACGATTGCGACGACAGTACTGCTCCGGGAACACCATACCATGTAGAGTATGCAGTTGGAATGACTGGTTATAGAGGAAACGCACTTGTCGATGTTTATTCACTGGATCCTGGAAGGAGATTTTATGTTGAGAGTATTAAAACGAATAACTTTGATGAGCTATAAAACAATAATTTTCTAATAAATCGTTGATAAGTTATACGGATTAGTAACAGAATATTGAATTTTTCAATATATGTATTAATATTACGCTTTCGATTACAACTTGACTACGAGGGTGAGAGAAGGACGGCTTTCTAGCAAAGTGAATCTAGTTTAACCACAACAGCTAGATCATGCAAGCTTTTTGATGGGAAGCTTGTTGAGGAGTCCATCTTTCTAGTTGATCCCGATCATACTCAGTTGGGTTGAGGTCTGGGCTCTGAACAGGCCATGGAAGCAACGTTATCATAATGGTATCATTCCATTTGACTATCTTTTTCTGTACGAAGTGTATCGGATTGTTGAAAATATATGTATTTATTCGCATCAATTTTACTTTCTATGTGCACAAGTGTTTGCTGATGGAAAAGCCCCCCTACCCTTACATCACCTAATGGTCCTAATACTACCTCCTCCGTACTTGCAAGTTGATACCAATCAGTCAACATCATATCATCAACCTACCTTTCACTGCTTATTGGTACCATCGATACCGTTTAACGCTTGCTCTCAGAATAAAGGCTTCGTGCAGATAATTTTCGAATTCTCCCAAGCGCTGGCGTCGCCCTGTCCCCGATTTTTATCCACCCGCCGTCTTCTACGCACGCACCAAATTCTACGTAGTTCAAATTGTTATCAATTATGTATTGATGTGGTTTTTTTTATTTATAAAGAAATTTCGCAGTGTTCTTTCCCAACCAAGATAATCTTCTTCTTGAGTGAGCTCATCAGTTGTTATTTACCTATTTTTTTGAAATAACGTGGCGTGACTTTCGGCCAGACGTTGGTCGAACGGTTGTCTGTTGACTGTCACGAAATGCATTAATGACACGGGTAACCTGCGATTCTGAATGCCCAAGAGCTTCTGCAATCTCGCGGGTTGTTCTCCCACAGTCCCACAGTCCAATAATTCGACCTCGTTCGAAATCAGTAAGTTCCCCGTTTGATGGCATATTAAAATTTCAGAAGGGTTTAAAGATTATCGTTAAACAAATTTTGTGTAACGTTTGCCTACTTCTTCCCGGTGAGAGGTATGTGATGGTGTTAATATTAATGACACTGTGGGACGTGCTCCTCTGTAGGGTTGGAATGGACAAGGCTGAAGACGAAGGTCAATCCCTATGATCTTAATTATAAAACATACGTGATTATGTCTTTAATAATTACATAACCCTTGCTTTACAAAAAGAGATCAACCAGAACAGACCGTTGTCGAACGAGGGCGACGACAATTCAAACAACCCAACCGACGGAAATGACAATGTAAATGACAAACAAAGCAAGTCAGTAAATCAATCAGCAAAAACAGCCGATACTGTTGCTACTAATCCTACTAATTTTACCGCTGAATTATCAAACAAGGATGACGCATTGACACACCAATCGTCAACTTTACCGTCCATTACGGAACGAAGGCGTAAGGGGCAACCCCCTTCAATGCAGACATCAAAAACCCCTCCTAATATATTGGGCAAAAACTCCCAGAAATCTGAAAACCCTCAAGAATCAGAGGCGCTTCCATACATGGTGCGAAAACGTGCCAGCTCCACACCCAATCTCGAATTGGTGCTTCCCTCATCCACACCATCAACGCGCGGTCAATTTACGCCAAAACTATCTTCGCCTCTTGCATCGAGACACCCAATTAGTGCTTCGCCCGAGTTATCCGATGGTTCTGATCTAGATGAACAAGCGAACGAGAACACAGACTCACTAACACACAGCAAGCCTTCTATCACGAATCAGGACTATGGTTTATTGAAAAAGTTACCAACAGAAGTGACTGAACCGCTTCTTTCACCCATCGTAGAGGAATCCAACCCGATGCTTGATGTTCCTAAACCTCCATCTTTAGTCCAGATATTTACTCCTCACTCACCTCCTACTCCTGCTCCTACTCCTGCTACTACTACTAGTACTGTGTCCTCTACGGTGCGTTCTCTCGATCCAGCCACTATCTTGCAAGACTATCCTCTTCAGAATGACAAGCCAAGTCTTTTATCAGGACCATTTTACATAGCTGTGAGCAAGTTGTGGAATAACGAATTCGGCGAAGCAGAGGCGATCTTAGCAATGGGGAAAGATGATATTCCCAGATGGTCTGCGGCGTTTCTAGAGGCACAATTGATGAAACATTTGCTAAGTGGACAGGGTTCAGATAGTGATAATCCATCGTTAACTAACTCATTGATCCTGGCCGAAAAGGTTGCTAGCAGAATCAATGAAGGAAAAGAAGACTTCGTAAGTTTAACGTTAAGTGGGAGAGTCGTTTATGTATTCTCGATATTCTGTATCTCGCCTGTGTTAATCAATAATGCTCGTTTTAATCTTTTATTTTGCATCGGCTTTTTTTGCACTTGTAAAGGAATTGTCTTTTTCTTCTTTCAAAACCATAACAAGAAAATATTGCCTTTCTCCATCATCTTCGGAAGACGTACCACCATCCAGCCGTACCAACTATCGTTGGGACTGCGACCTTGCCCTAGCCGATATCCTTCTTTTCCGTGCTGTTCTCCAGGTGATCGGTGGCAGTGAAATCAAGGGTGCATTCAATCTTCGCAAAGCGTGGAAACTGTATTCCAAAGTTAGAGACGAGATTGAAAAAGTAAAATCCGAACAAGGGAAAAACGATGCAAGTCCGACGAGTGGAAATAGTAGATGGAGTATTGGAGCACCGTTTGGTGGAAGAAGAGGAAGTTTCAGTAGCTTGGTGGGATTTGGGATTAAGAGTCAAAATAATCAGCATGATGCTAGTGTTGAAGGAGGAAGTGGAGAAATAGATAAGGATGTTGAGGACTGTCTGGAATTTGGTATTGGCTTGTTTTATTTTGTTGTCTCTATAGTAAGTAATTACAACTTTCCGTTCATACATCTTTGTCCTTATTTGTTCTCGAAAAGTAAATATATATTGATTATGTACATTTCATAACGACATGCAGGTTCCTGGTTCGTTTTTGAGTGTGTTGAAAGCAATAGGATTCAATGCAGACAGAGAGCAAGGTATAAAGATGTTAGAGAATTGTTGGGAGCGTCGCAGAATTCGAGGTAAGTTATTAGCTTATTATCAATGTGTGCAACGAGCTTGTGTTCCAAATCTTTAATGACTGGTCTTTTTCATTTATTCTTATTCCGATAAAGCACCATTTGCCGCCCTATTTCTTCTTGTAAACTATTTGTTCCTTCCACGTGGCCTTATTAACCCCAAGTCTACACTAACACGAGCCGGTGAGATTGTTCAAAGGGCCTTGCAGAAGTATCCGTAAGCGGTTTAGATGTCTTGGTGTTTTTATATTTTATCTATAGTATCGTCTCTTACTTACCATCGTTCCAATACCCTTTCCTTCATACTTCCACGAAACACCGTCACAGTAACGGCGCAGCTTACTTGTTCCTATCGTGTTACCAAAATCGTAGGGCTACTCGCTTTCGCGAAGCCATTGATTCTATCTCTCACGGAATTAAGTCATGCGAGAAATCCAACGTTAATTCCACAAACTTTTTCTTCGAGCTCGGAATGACACACATTATACTTCTCGACTTGAACAATGCAAAGAATCTTCTCGAAACTTTATTTTACGGTAATACTACTCTTTATACCGGCAAGTATGGATCGATCCGCCTGCACGGCTCAGTGCGAGGGTCGAAACGATTTGATGGAACGATGAGGGAGCAACAGTTTCAGGACTTTGAGTTGAGGCCATTCTGTGGGTTGTGTTTGGCAGCTTGTTATAGCATTGCTAGACCAGGAGAAGTCGGAGAAAGAGTCGCATTGGATATGTTGAGTCAGATACACGAAATGAGCAGCCCACCGGAAAACAATAGTAGTAGTGTAGCCGGAAGCATTGGGTTGTTGGGCGCTAGTGCAAGTGCATTTGGGTTTACTGGCGGGCTTGGGAACGAAAAAGTGAAAAAGGTATGTATATTGTATTCCATAGACGTTATGAATTCGATTAGGGGTTACGAGTGAATTGTTAACGGGTCATTAATGTTTTCTGCTTTCATATAGGCTAATCGGTATAACAAATTCGCGACACGACATGCGGCAAAAGGAATCAACGCAAATTACGTGACACCATTTTTACTGTTCATCATCTTGTATCTTCGTAGAGATTTAATTTATTTACCAAAAGATATATTAGAGAGATGGTCCGCTTTGCTAGAGACAACCCGGGCAGTAAGTATAGGAAACTGATGAAGTATACTTCATGTAACTATGTGCAGTGGTAAAAAATATGCTTTGCTCTGTTTTCTACATTAAACTTACGTTCGCCCACCTTCTTTATAGAACGCTAAAAAACCGGTAGATATGGATACGAACGCTGTTTATCTGCTTCTCCGTGGCGTATTCGAAAAATCATTAAACCCGGATTCTTCAGTCGCCCTTGCCACACTCAACGAGTGTTTGTCTATGGAAATTGGGGTTGTCTCGGAAACATGGGTTATTCCGTACTGTAGATACGAGGTAAAGCGAATTATCCTTATGCATATTATAATCAATAGTATAAATACATGATCCTTACGATCCTTACGATCCTTTTTTTTTTCAACACAGCTTGCTGAACTCCTCTATAAATCACGAGGAAATAAGGAGGAAGCAGTGGAACATTTTAAATGGATAATAAAAGGACCTCGACCGATATCTCGTGGTCCAGCATTAATACGACGTGATAGCAGTCTCAGCCTACATTCTCTTGCTTCCCGTTTATCGGATGTGTCGGCATCTCCAGCGAGTAATACAAATTATAATCCCGAAAAATTCAAGAAATACGAATTCGCGCGTGCACTCAAACACCGGTGTACAGTTGCAATGGATCAGATTCGGAATGGAATTGTCAGTCCACCTGAAAGCAACCCGGCAGGCGACCAAACAATATCTATACAATCGCCTTCGAATGGATCTGGCTCTGCTGCTGTTTCCGATCAGTTATCTAATACTCTTGTAAAAGCTTGCAAGTCTAAACCCGAGAGCGAAAATGAAGACTTGGATGAAGGAATTGTAATAGGAAAGACACTTTCAATGAAACGTAGACATAAGCCGTCGAAATCGTTCTCGTTTGCTAATAGACGAGAGAGTACAGATGGGCATTCGAGCGATGCTAGTTCAGAAAGTAAAGGGAAAAAGAAGCTGGCAGGATTTAGATTTCGATAATTAGGAATTTTTTAGTTTATACTTTTAAACCGATGACTTTTTATCACGTGGACAATGTTTTTTTTACTATTATTAAAGTTGAAATGTTATACTGGTTACTGTGGGTGAAAATTGAGAGCAATTGAAAGGATGTCGCAATAATGGGGATTACTGCGTACCTTTTGTATTAGTTGTTCTGGTATAGTTTCTCTGCGGAGCGAGTGGTTCTCAAGTCTATATAGTTTGCCTAATTGCAGAATTGCCGTGAAGCTCACGGGCAAAAGCTACTTGCTACCATCTCTTTGATCGCCGATAAGTTAGATAAGAATTTATGACATGTCGAGAAATTTATGTACGGATCAGTTTCAAAACGCAGAGATAGTATAATAATATTGGAAAACAGTCGCTGATAATTTTCCTAATCGCTTCCACGTTGCGTATTATGAGAAGGCAGAAAGACGAGAATAGTATTTCGGGCGATTACTAATCGACACCACGCGTGTTGTTGAATGGCTTAATTCAATCGTGTGGAAGACTTTCTAGCCAAATAATAAGTATACAGTGGCTGAGAGAGTAATTAAAGCAATTAATGAATGTAATAGTAAAATGAAAGGACTATCATGTGCAAATCGTATGTTATTAATAATACATATTAATGTCGTTTCTTGAAACGTGTAAACAATGACAGGGTAAAACTAAGCCGTCCTTCGGGCACATGACAGGAAATTTCCAATTACAGAATGTCAATGATAAATAACCAATTGGTTTCTACTTTGAATAAGCTTTGGGAATATCTGCGGAGTATCTGTTAACCTGCGCCGATACTTGAATATTAATTCATTAGTACAATAAGAATATAATTACAGGGGCCAATTGCGAAAGTTATTTATTCCCATTTATAGATTCTTTGATTCAACCAGATTGAACTGTACTACATTCACGATATCTGTGTATGTGAATTTTGACGCATAATACCCCATTAATAAGATTGTTCCTAAAAATTTACGTCCAATGGTCCGTAAACCTTGAGTTTTACAAGCTGTGTAAGAACTGGTTTCCCATTAAAGTTTTTCAGCCCTTTACGTAGGATGGCACACTGTGAACAGTGGCATATGATAATGATAACAGCTGTTACTTTCGTCATACAAGTCGTACACTTGCCATACTGCGTAAAATACTGATAAAGGACATGTTTGCTATAATAGACATAGACATGTTTCTTGTCTCATCGTTCAAATACTTTTATTATACAATAAACTTGTTCCATTTACAAATTGAAAGAATATCTATTAATTGGAGGTAACCATGCGTTATTATAATATGTATTAGAGTATAGTACAAGCACGCCTTTTTGGATGGCTATTTCCTTTCGCTTTTGTTCTGAGACTGACTTTTGCAGCATGTTGAAAAACTTCCTTTACACCTGTCGGGATGATAGTGTAAGTTTAAGCAAGCAAACAAAAGACACAGGCATGGACATACAAGTATTGACATTTACCTCTATCTAGCAATGCCGAACATTCTAGATATCTAGCTGCTTGAATGTTCTTCGCTACTTCAAGACCCTGTGAAACCAACCAGTCAATAAATAATCAAAGTTTACTATAAATAGCATTTCATGTGTTACATTACCTCCTCGTATGTGATCGGCTTCTGCCCTGCTTCTTGTAAATTCTTTATTGTGCGCGGGTCGTCTCTTAGATCGCATTTCAATGCCACCAGACATATCTTTACACCATGACAATTCTCTATGATCTCTTCCATCCATTTGTTTTCAATGTTTTCCAGAGAATCTCTATAATCCACCGAGAAGCAGAGCAATATCACGTGTGTATCTGCATATGAAAGTGCTCTTAATCTATCAAACCCTTCCTGGCCTGGATGGATAGAAAAGGAATAACGAATGAGTGATACAGTGAGTGAAATGACGGCAATTATAAAAGTAAACGCATGTATTTATTCATCATGGGAATGTTCGAATGCTTGGCGGGTGAAATGCTTGTGACGATATAGCCTTTGCATTAGAACGGTTCTCTCCTAAACCTTACCAGCAGTGTCCCAGAGTAATAATTCGATGTGTTGATCGTCCAAATACATGTCGTACACATAGTTTTCAAAAATCGTTGGCTCATATACCTATTGACATACGTTGTTAGTACTGCTGTCAACAATTGTTATACTACATTGACATGTTCACATCCTCCTTTCCCTCACACATCCCTCACACATACCGCTTCCCTCCTTCCCTCATACAAACCGCATCATACCCCTTCCCTTACACACACATTCTCTGTCCAATTCTCACCTGCGGGAATTGTCCTCTTGTAAATACGTTGAGTAGTGATGTTTTTCCACACGCACCATCACCCAACACTACAATCTTGCGTCTTATGACTTTATTGCGTCCGAGACATCCACAGAGCGTCATAATTATGAGTAGTATAATAGGTAAAGTTGTATAGAGAGAGTATGGTGTATAATGTAGTAGGAAATGTGACAAATATTCGTCGTCGCTATATGTGATTGTTAGTGTGGTATAATGTATCTTGTTGGATATTCGATACGTGTTATTGAGAGGTGCTAGGTGCTAGGTATTGTTAGAAGAGAGTTTTTTGCTTCGTGTGAACATGACACTAGACTATCTGCTTATATAAAACATTTTTTGAATTTACCTAACTCGATTGAGTATCGGGCTTGCGGTTGTGTTTAGAATGCATTAAAATAAAACAATTATACAGTGCTTAATATATAATACCGCATATGCACAAAGTATTATTACACATTATTTTCGTTAGCCGACTTCCATTTACGATTTATTTATGTTTCAATTATTCTAAATATTCTTATGGCGCAGCAATCAATTGGCGATGATTTATAATACCATGCTGCTGCTACTATAATTATAATAAGCATTATACCCACTATGAAACTACTACCGCTATTACTATTGCCGACATGATTATGTCCTATACATCCCCAGATTATGACGAATAATAGACATTGTTCTGGCTAAATATGGAAGAACAATCGAACGTTATCAGCCAAGGGATAATTACGGCACAAAAACAGTGACACATCGCATATCAATGAACCAGGACAGGAATAGTCCCAGTTTTATTGACACTCTCATACTAATACTAACAACCATTTTCGTTGTGTGTATGTGTACATGGGTAGAGTTCTCCCAATATATAGTCCAACTATCGTCTACAAATGAAGTTTGGGGCGCACACAACCGTAAACCCCGTTTGGTTATACAAACATTGGGCAATTTGGTTGTCTTTATATGAGTAATTCATTGTCAATCAAGATTTTGATAGCGAATGGGCTTGGCACTACCAATGAGAACCCAGTAAAATTTAAGCGGCCAATAAATCGATTCGGTCCGATCGATCAAGTCAAACGAGTGAAACGTAGCAAGTGTAATCGGTTATTTCTATTTGTTAAATTAAACGTCATCAGGCGTCCGTACGGTCACTGGTACGTCACTGGTACTAGGGCAATTAATAGTTTAATATCAGCGTGCGTTGGAAATGTCTCAAGAACGCAACATGATTTTAGTGTACCGGACACGATCCGTGTGCATGTCAACACATGTATTAAATCCAAATAAGCTACCCATTATGAGAACACGAGCATGAGTTCAATGCATATAACCTGGTATTACAAATATGTTGACTGTCATTACATAGCGACTATGCCGATCATTGAATCTTTGATGCCGTGTCCAATTTGTTGTTTAAGCCAAACGATAATTCCTCGTTTTCTATTTATGGTATATGTACAGCAAGTCGGAAAAGATCCGGGAAATAATTCATGTGGTGACGTTAATTGATGCTATCTATGACGTTGTGGATCAACAAATTTTAAGTTTCACGTTTCAGAAGATTCTAATTTTCCTATTTGTGAATAAGCGCTATTGTTAAGTCTAGTTGAAGTACTTTTCCGTGTGAATTATAATGGAATTAATCGTGACAATGTTCTCAAACTTGACAATTGTTATTATCCCCGTCATGTCAGAGTCTTTAATGGAGAGCCACTCATAGATCAACATTTGAGATTCGGCGTTCTCAATTCGTCTCTCCTGACAATAATCAATGCATGAAAAAGGCTTTCTTGCAGATGAATGTTCCTTGTGATGATGGAGATTTATTCTCGCCGCTAGTCTATTGGTCGGTCGAATGGATTGAATCGATCAAAAATAGTCAACTATAATCAATCAATTGGCATAGCTATGTTCATAACTAAGGCTCCATCAAGCAATGCTTCCCCGGGCGCCATTTAGATCTCTATTAATCTGAAGTCCACACCTATCACACCTAAATACTTTACTTCCACCCAAA